TTTGCCTGAGGGAGGACCACCTGCCTTCAGGTCCCACCAGGATCTCTATAGAGCCTGACCTAGACCTCAGGAAGCTCTGAAGGCCTTAACATCTGAGGACACATGCTGTGCTGTCCGAGGATCCACATCTCTAAAACCTGCCGGCACTAACCTCAGGCCCAGGCAAGCCTTCACCTCTCTGGGCCTTGATTTCCTTGGTAGACAAAAAAAGCAATGCTGCAATTTACTGCAGAGGACTGTAGGGAGCTAAAAAGCCACAGCGGGGGGTTGGGGTGGAGGTGGGATGGAGGGCTGGAGAGATGGGCTCAGAATGAGGATGGGAGCTGGGGTCCCCCAGAAATCCATAGAAATGGTGGGTGGGAATCCCATCCCCAGAAGGAAGAGACAGAGCGCCCGCCGCCCCGCCCCTCTCCTCACCCCGTGCAATCTGGCTAGAGAGATCTCTCTGCCCGTCACAGCCCTTGGAGGTGCCAGACTTCCCAGAAACTTGAGGAGGTCAGTTTAACCTTACTGTGGAAGACAGCTTGCTGGGACCTGCAGAACCCAGGAAGCCAACAGAGGGGGTCACTCTGGTCCTCACCAGCAAGACACTGAGCCTCGACTGGCCCATGCCTTGGGTGAAGAAGTCCTAGCCCTGAGACTCTGAGTTGAGAGGGGACATAGTCGGACATTCAGAAAACTGTGGCCATTTGTTTTCCCAAGCAGCTGAAAACTGAACATTCTGGTCTTCTAAGACGGTGTGATCTGACGTGCCGGCTTAGACGGCAACCGCCAGTACAGATGAAACACACTTACACGTACGTACGCCTAACAAGGATGCCAACAGCTCAACCGGAGTAATCGTCCAACCTGTACCATGGTACCTTCCCTGGCTTTGTCGAATATCCGGGTGTGGTCAATGGTTAAACAGCACTCCTTTTCCTGATGCAGACTTACAGCTACCATCCGGTTCATTCCAGGCCCCATTGCAATCTCCCCTGCCTCTCAGAAGCAGGAGAGTGAACTCACACCCGTCTACAAGGCCAGGACACAGTTCCAGAGCTAGGCTGTCTCTCTCCACGGGGTGCCCGTACCGTTGGCTTAAACAGACAGCAGTAACCAACCTGTGGGGAGGCCCAGCTACCCGCTAGCTCCTACCAACTGGTGGAGAAGGAAACCAGTAGAGATCCTGAGGGGGGCATCCAGCCTGCCCTGGTCTCAGGAGCCCTTCTATGCCTGTCCAATATGACCCTCCCCGCCCAAGCACAAAGGCTTCCTATAATATGGAAAACATGAGCTATTCTTTCCAGCCACAGAGCTAATGCAGCTATGAGCATAAGACAGGGCCTCTAAAGAGGAAGAAGGGGGCAGGGACCAGGTGAGCTTTGAATGGCTTTGCAGAATGGCTAACAGTCCTAGTTAAGAAAGGTCTGGGACAGATTGTCAGGGAGGGAGAGCTCAAGGTTCAAGGGTGTTTAAAGTCACATTTTCTGGCACGTCTGCTGGATTCTAGTGCCACACACCATCTTTCCTCTGGTAATACCTACATCGAACCATCTCCAGGGCTCTCCACAGCCTTGGCATTCAACCATAGACACAGATCTTTGTGACTGTGTGATGTCAACTGCTAGCCAGAGTAATCACCCAACCTGTACCATGGTAATGCCATTCTAAGGGGTGGTGCCAGTCACTGTTCTTAGATTGGTCCATTGCATCTCTGTGATGGACAGGGATCACTCTGCTCTTTTTACAGAGGGAGAAACTGAGCCCAGACCAGAGAAGCAGTTCACCAGGAGTCCCAAGAACAGAGTTGGATTGTGCTTCAGTGGCAGTGTGCTTGCGTGATATGGGTTTGATACCCCAGTAGCATCAAGTGACTGTTCACTCTAGTGTGCGCGCTTGCACGCTCATGTGTGCATGCAACCACGCACACACACACACTCATGCACATACAGAGAGACAGGTGGGGGGAAATCACAAGAAAACTGGGATCTGAACCCAGGAAGATAGAGCCGAACTTTTTTTTTTTTTTTTTAAAGAAATAGTCTCACTACATAGACCAGGCTAGCCAGGAATTATATAGGTGGAACAGAGCTATACCACCTGCTTCTGTCTCTGCTTCCTGGGTGCTAGGAATAAAGCCAACCTCACAATCTTTTTTGCTGTTGTTGGGGGTTGGTTTGTTTGTCTGAGGCAAGGTGTCCTATGTAGCCCTGGCTGTCCTGGAACTGGCTATGCAGAGCAGGCTGGTCTTAATCTTCACAGAGATCCTACTGCCTCTGCCTCTCCAGTGCTGGGATCAAAGGTGTGAATAACCAGGCCTGGCCAAGCTCACATTCGTAATCAATGTATCCAATAACACAAGGCTGGTTACACCCTCAGGCTTGGGTCTACCAGAGTCAATGACCGTAGTCACTTGGGAGTGGACCACAGATTGACCCAAGATGTTCTCTACAGAAGCAGAGGCCCTAATGTCCCTTAGTGTTGTCTGCCTTCTGCCTTCTGTGCACACACTAAGCATCAGTGAGATTCTGGACAAGATATAGGACCCTGATGCTCTCTGTTCTGCTGAAGTATCCAGGTCCGGCACAGCACGTGTCTAGAACAGCCCCTAGGACAAGGCCAAGTTCCTGCGGCTGGAGCCAGAGAACCTATCAGCCACCCCGAAGCGTTATCCCCAGCTGCCCATCTGGAGGAAGTTGCCAGCTGGAGTTACTAAGATGCTCATGCTAGGGTACCCCAAAGTCTCTACCCTAGGGAGTCCAGTCAGTGCTGACCAGGATGTAGGAGAAGGGGCTCTTTAACTGGTAAGCACAGAATAAATCGGACGAGGGCAGTACGGGCTCTTCAGGTCTCTGCCCTCCCTCAAAGCTGGACCACTGGCCCCAGCTAAAGCAGAAATGATCTACAGTGTCAAAGCCACCCAGACTGTCCTGTCACCTCCCCTCTGTTCCAAGTGACCATCCTGTCCTCATCTCTCCTCACCCAAACCACATCTCCTTCATTTCCATTTCAGGAGGGAAGAAGTAGTGGTTGGCCAGGCCTTCTACAAAATGTGGATGGTGTCCCTTCAGAGAGACCCTTCGGCAGGGTCAACCCAGAGCCTAACCCCTGGGAACTCTCCTGTACCTGGTACCTCTCACACAGGACATCATCACCCGTTGGATGCTTCCAGAAAACAGAGAGAGGTTCCAAGAGTTTCTGCCCGTCTCGGGTTGATCGCTGTGGCCACCTGCTGCTCAGTGTACCCACTACTCTGTCTGCCTGTAGTGTTTGTGTCCACTGCATGCCAAGCACGTGAGCTATCCCTGTGAGCAAGGCTTTCCTGGGAGGAGACAGACTTCCCAGTTGGGAAACTGAGGCTTAAAGTTTGTCTCAAGTGGCGAGTCAGGGACCCCTCACAAGATGTCTGATTCCAGGTCTCACAGTTAGGACCCTCCCTCTCCATGGAGTGGAAGGTTCCGGGGCAGGGGGTATCAAGGGAATGTTCCTGCCTCCCGTGTTTGCTCAGTGGCTCTGCACTCAGGGTCCTGGAGACCTAGAAGCCAGTGCTTTAGGCAGATATCTTTAGGGACAAAAGGATGTCCCTGGAAATGGAATGCACAAAACCCTTCCCTGTAGGGAACAGGCTGTTCAGAAGCTCAGAGGTGGGAAGGCTCAACTGAAGAGCCTGAAGGCGACAGGCAGGCGACAGGCGTGATTGAAGGCGGGAGGCAGGGCTGTGTGCAGAAGGAGGGCAAGCTAGCAGCTACTGACAGCTGAGGAGGTGAGACGGGGAGCTAATGGGCCATCAGGAAGCTCCCAGCAGAGCAGAGGCAGGTTCAGATTGTCTCTGTGTGGGACTGAGGTGTGGGGGATGGACACACATCTGGGAGTCACCACAGTAGTCCTCCTGGAAAGCCTGGCTGGGGACACCACCTCAGCAGCCCTCGCTTCAAGTCCTCAGGAGAAAGTTCCCCAGAATCCATCCTCTCTCACAGTCCAGGCCAGCATCTCAGACCACAGGGACACTTCCCTAATGTCTCAACTCAGTAACTCAGAACTGAGGGGGCAGGAGGGGGACAAAGTCTGACCCAACAGTGACCCGCATGAAGCAGAGGTGAGTGATTCGGAACCAGGGTACAATGGGGCTCCAGAAATGCTATATGGGCCACTGCCAGGACCTCGGGGTGAGTTATATCTAGACCACAATGTTCCTCACGGACCTATCAAAGCAGTGTGCCTAGGGCCAGCCACTTGCCTGCCCAGCCTCGGGGCAGCCTATTCAGAGAACCTGAGAGGCCCAGCCTCTCAGAGAAGCCCAACCTGTATGGCATTACTGGGGACCTGGGGGTGGCAGTCTACAAAACAAACTCCTTCCTCCTCCTCTTGCCTGGGGGTTCTGACACTTCATCATCAGCCTTTTGCTTTTTTGGCTTAAGATCTTCCCATCAGAGTTACTGGTTTTTAATGGCGCCACGCCACTCAAGTTCGGCAGGGCTTCCTGCTCCCTGAGACTACTGTCCCGGTTGATCCTTCTTGCTGGAGGTTAAAGCAAGAGGCTTTCAAATCCTGGGTTCTAAGACAGTGGAGGAGGGGGAGAAGGCTGGGGCAAAGGCCAGGGTAGGGGGGAGAAGGGAGGTCACAGGAGGCACAGAGGGTCATGCCTGAGAGGAATGGTGCCAGTCTCTCTCACTCCTTTTGGAGAAGGATAAATCAGAGAAAGAACCTGAGTGGAGACCCTGGAGCAGCTCCTCCCCTTCCCACTCTGGTGCTGGGACCCCTGGTTCCGTGTCTTCCTCCTGTCCTGGAAGCAACAGCTCCGAACGCAAACTTTCTGGGAGCCTGACCCCTGCCTAGCTGCCCATTCAGCCGTCGCCACCCGCCGCTGGGCAGGGGGTCTCCGAAGACAGGCAGCGGGGCGCTCAGGAGCCGGGAACACTGAAAAGCAGGCTCGCTAAAGCAAAGGCTGGAAGCTACAGAGAAAGAGGGATTCCGGCCCAGGGGCGGGGCAGGGGGGACCCGAACGGCGGGCGGCTCACCTGCATGACACGGTGATCTCCACCTTGGTAGCCGGGATGCTGCCCGCCAAGGAGTCGAACTCGCTGAGCGACGCCATGTCCTCGGGCTGCTCCATCGCCCACCGTCCCCCCCACCCCACCCCAAATTAGTCAATATTCCTGCGCGATTCACGCCTCCTCCGGAGCCGCTGCAGCCCTGGGCTGGGCGGCCAGGGTAGGAGAGGAGCGCGAAGAGGGGGCGTGGGAAGTGCGAGCGGGAAGGGGGCGGAGAGCGGGGGCCGCAGAGAAACGGGGCGCGGGATCTGCTGCGGGGAGGCGGAGGGGGGGCCGCGGCGAGGGAACCGGGGCGCAGCGGGGAGGGGTCCCGGGGGGGGCGGGGGGGACTGGGGGAGGGGAGGGGCGAGGACTGAGCCGCCTCGGGCTTGGGGAGCAGCGCCGCGTCCTCTGCTAGGGCTCCGGCTCCGGGGTGCCTGGACTGCGGGAAAATCAAATGTGCCCGGAGTCGCCGCCGCCGCCTCCCGCCAGGCGCGCGCTGCGTGCGGGGTCCGCGGGCGCCGGAGGGGCCGCCCGCAGGGGCCGGGGCGGGGCCGGGGCGGGGTCTGCGCGGGGCGAGTGTGGGAGCGATGTGTGTGTGTGTGTGTGAGTGCGCGCGTGTGTGTGTGCACGCGCGTGGCGGGTGTGGGGACGCGGCTCTGGATGACGGGGACAGGGTTGGCGACAGCCAGAGACGGTCCCAGGGCGCGCGCCGCCCTCCCCGCAAGTCCCCCACCCCACTTATCCAGCCAGGGTCTGCGTGCTGGGGGAGGGGGACGGTCCAAGGGGCACCTGTTTGGGCAGCGTCTAGGCGGGGTTCGGGGAAGAGGGCTCAGCTGAGTGTGCGCACCGCCACCGGAGAGTCTAAGCCCAGAGCAAGCTCTCCATCTCTCTTTGGGGGAGGCGGCGACCAGCCTGGTGCCAGGAAGGCTGGTCTGGTTTCCGACGTAGGGTGGGCCAGTGGGCGCTTGCCCATCCGCCTCTGGTGTCCGCCAACCCTGGTCTTGGCTAGTCGCCCGAACCTTTACCCAGCTCCGTCGTCTTCCTCCTCCTCTCGTCGTGACCAAAGGGGCCGAGCCAACTCCCGGGTCTGTCTGGAAGCTTCTTCCACTAGACTGAGTGGATGGCCTCAGCTCCCTGGGCTTTGCAACCAGCACCCCAGTATACCGGGCTCAGAGCTCTGCACTGGGAAGCGAGGGGAGGGTTAAAGCATCTCTTAGGCAGTCTTTTCCCAGCCAAGCCTAGAGCCCCCTGCCCGGCTCAGCCTGCCCTCTCTGGGCCTGGGGTTGCAGCGCCAAGCTAGCTCCCGAAGGCTGTGCACGTAGTTTCCTCTCCAGCAAATCCACCCGCGGCCCCTCCTCAACCTCAGTGTAAGCTTTGCTGAGACAAGACGGAGCTGCAACTTCCTCACCCACCACCTCACACAGCGTGGATGCCTGTCACTACCCGTGGTGGCCTTCTGGCAGCCGGGCATTCCGAGCAGGTGCACACGAATGCTGTTTGAAATCAATTTTCAATGCATCAGTCAGAGCCAGAGTTGAAGACAAACAGAACACCTTCCTTGGACTTGCACAAGTGATTTCTGTTTACCTAAGCCTCCAGGTCAGCTGGACTCAGTTCTATCGCCTGGGGCGGACAGCCAGGGGTGCTGGATTGGGGAGGGAGGGCAAGAGAGGGGACGTCCCAACTCACTTTTGGGTTGGGCCTGGGGCCCTCCTTGCACAAAGAACAACTCAGTCTCCACTTATTTCTTTGTGTGGTTTTTGTTTGTTTTGTTTTGTTTTGTTTTTTGGTTTTTCGAGACAGGGTTTCCCTGTATAGCCCGGGCTATCCTGGAACTCACTCTGTAGACCAGGCTGGCCTCGAACTCAGAAATCCGCCTGCCTCTGCCTCCCAAGTGCTGGGATTAAAGGCGTGCGCCACCACTGCCTGGCTCTTTGTGGGTTTTTTGTTTTGTTTTTATTGTTTTTCAATTTTCAATTGATTTCAAATTTAGAACAGAATCCAGTCCGAACCCCTAGCGAGCTGCTAGTCAATATGTCTAAAACTATCGTCCAATATTGTTAGTGAGACTGAGCATCGGAGACGAAGGATATGTCCCCGCCCAGTACGGGGCTCTGTAGGTGCTCTCAGGATGAGTGCAGTTTCTAACACCATATAATGGGATGGTACAAAAACATAAAGATTTGAAATGACTTGCCAACATTTATAATTAGGAATGCATTTTCATTTTATTATTGTTGTTTTGCTTTTCCAAACAGGGTTTCTCTGTGTAGCCCAGGCTCTCCTGGAACTTGCTCTGTAGACCAGGATGGCCTCACAGAGACCTGCCTGTCTCTGCCTCCCTGCTGGGATCAAAGGTGTGCGCCACCACTGCCTAGCGGGGATGATGTGTTTTAAAATACAAGGCTAAGTGATTGAGCAAAGATTAGCTTACCCCTTTACCACAGGCAAGCTGTGGGCATGGGGCAGCAAGGGCAGTAGAGCTCACCAGGTACCTCCCCCCCAAGTCCCTACACCCCCGTCTCTGATGTCCTCTTTGGGGTGGAGGTCTACAGGGGGAATTCCAGGACAGAGACAGACAGAGCTATGTAGAGAGACCCTGTCTCAAAAATAATCACGACAAAGGGCAAAAAGACATGGTATCTGTTCCTAAAATCCTCAGGCTAGTTGGGCTTCAGGACATGTGGACAGAACTAGCCAGCACTGAGGGCTGCGGAAGGTGGCATAGAGGGTCAAGGATTAGGGGACAAGGGGGGGTGGGAACCTGGAGGGGAGGTGACTGACAGATTACACTAAGAGTGAGGCCTTTCGTAGGTGCTAGAGTCAGCCCTGAGACAGGCTGGACAGAGTGTTTGAGATGTCAGGGAAAGCAGGGTGGCTGGGAGGAACAGTGACCCAGCACAAGGACTGGGTCCTAGGACTCTTACTCAATCTACCCAAGCAGTGGCTTCTGCCTGCTCTCAGCTCCATGGCTAACATGGCTGACAGCTCCATGCTCCAGAAGGACTGACCTTCCGACACTGCTAGCCTGACACACAGGGTGGCATGGAGAGTGTCCCTGAGCCGGAGAAGGTCTCAGCCTGAGGTGCAGACTCCAGCAGGTGTACCGGGCTTACCTTTTGCCCCATCGCAGGCAGTGAGGCTGAACTGCATTCTTCGGGGCCAACTGGTAGAGCTTAGGCCAGAGGTCTGTGCCTGGCAACCACAGATCTAGAGTGTGTGTCTAGGGTAAAGGTTAAAGGTTGGTGAGGGTAGAAGATGAGGCCAGGAGACCGCCGGTGAGAAGCCACAATGCCAGGTTCCAGCCGCCACCAGCCTGTCCAAAAGGGGGCGCCAATGGAGAGGAGGTCTGAGAGGCACCTCTCTGCACCATGGCCAGCCTAGCAGTCAGGCCTAGAACAAAACCCTCTGATGAGTGTCCGGAGCTTTGCTTCCGGTCTTTGCTCAAACAAGGTATTCACTGATGGTTTAAAGCAATCCCGTGTGTGATACATTTGGGTGAATTTGTTCTCTTGAAGGTGTCACGGTACTCTGGTCATCGGGCCACCCGTGACATCCTGACAAACCATCACGTGCTACAGACTGACTCTGGGTGTCTAGAACCCAGATCAGAAGCAACCTTGACCCAGGCCCACCCGCCACGGATGCACCATCATCCCTCTGATTAAGAACCTCGAGCACGGACCCGGGGCCGTGCCCAGAAGAGCTAAGATAATCAGCGTCAGCACTTTGCCTTCACCGTCCAAGACTGCAGACGGCCTTCATCTGACCTGATTCGTGGTGTTAATGACGGCAGAGCAATTTTGAGAGGCAGCTCTCGGCATCTATAAGGAGGGGAAAAGCACTGAGGGCTGGGGACCAAGCTCCTTGCAGAAGAGGCAGCTGCAGTCGCCCTCCCCCTCAGCCCCTCCCCTCCAGAGGCACTTTGAGTAAGTGCTGCCCTCCGATCTGCCCTCTTATGATGGGAGAAAGCTGACGTGAGAGTTGGAGCTGGAGTGTGCAAGGCGACTGTGTGTGTGTGTGTGTGTGTGTGTGTGTGTGTGACCGGGTACCCATGCTATACCTGAGAACATTGCTGGATAAACACAGCCTTGGACCTGGCAGGGTGCATAGCTTACTTACAGGTATGAGCTGCCCATGAGCGTCCTGTTTACCTGCTCAGTTACAAGTTATTAGGCAGTCAATACCCTGTACCACTGTCCGAATACCCTGTACCACTGTCTGAGGCAGCTTCATCCGGAGAAGGAGAGCCAAGGGGCAGGAGGAAACTTGAAACCACCATAGCGGTAGAAAAGAAGGTAGGAAGCAGAGTCTGACTCCATCCACTAATAGAAATAAAAAGGGGCTTGGCTCAGGTTAACCCCTTTGATTGCTGAAAAGCTTAGAGGAGAGTAATGTGTTTAAGGTCACCGGAGGCTTTCCCAGTGAGAGACCCCACTCATAACAGTGAGGCTGGGTACCCAAGAATGCGAGGACCTGCCTCAGGTAGGGTGGGGCGGAGCCATTTCCAATGGGGTGGAAGAGGCCTGAAGGATGTTGGACTCCCTGAGAAATGTCCGCCCTTCCCCTCCCCCCAGGACCTTCCCTCCCCATCCTGCTTGCTGCCACCCACTCAAAGTGAAGCCCAGATCGTTGCTGTAGCTGGGGATTCCCTTCTCTTAGAACCAGTTCCCAAGCCTGACTGGCCCTCTACGGCCTGTCTTTCTTTTTGGCTTTCTCCCTCCATCTTCTCTCCAGATGACGGATACTTCTTACCTTTAGAGTCCAGGACCTGGAATCTTCACGAGTGTGTGTGTGTGTGTGTGTATGTGTGTGTATGTGCCTGTGTGTTTGTGTATGTGTGTGTATGTGTGTGTGTATTTGTATGTGTGTGTATGTGCGTGTGTATATACACTAATGCATGCAGCACAGGTAACCCTGTACTCAAGACCCCGCCCCTCCATGTTGTCATCCCACACTAGAACTTTCCACTAACCTCTCCAGCTGCTTCTCTTTGGTCACTCCAGTGACCACAGCCAGCCACACAGGCCTTCCTGGGCCTGCAGTTCACTGCCTAGGCCTTTATACCTGCTCTTTCGTTTCCCCTGCTTGGAAGAGTGTTCTTGTCTGTTTCAGTGCCTCCAGCTCTTCACAGAGACCCTCCCCCAGAA